CATTACTAAATGGAAGCTTTTAAAAAAGCATGGAAGATAATAGAATTTTCTTTGAATTTATTTCTGACCTTTGGTTCCCATCTCCTCTCCACGTGCCCAGCACATAGCAGGTGCAGGCCAAAAGCTGGCCTGCCCTCTCCTTGGTCAGCTCTCTCACCCCGAAGTCCAGGTATCAACCAAGCCTTGACTTTCCTAACAGATCAATGCTATCGGATTCTGTAAAATGAGTCTCTTACTTTTAGGAATCGATTCATGTGATTATCCCTGCAAGATAGTCCAGAAGCCTGGACACCCAGCAAGAAGCCCTGTTGCAGTTCAGGTCGGTGGGGTACCTGCTGGCAGAACTCCTTCTTACTCAGGGGAAGTCAGCCTGTGTTCTAGCAAAGGCTTAAGTAGTTGGATGAGGCCGACCCATGTTATTGAGGGCAATCTGCTTTACTCAAAGTCCACTGATTTCAATGTTAATCTCAGCTAAAAAATAACCTTCACAGAACCATCTAGAATAATGTTTGACCCAATATCTGGGCACTATGACCTAGGCAAGTTGACACTTGAAATTAACCATCACAGGCTCTTTTGTTGGTGATCACTATTTCTAATGGCTTTGTCTGGTTTCAATATCTGACCATCTACTCCTTTAAATTCTCTTTGGGACCAGTCTCCTACTAACCATAATCTGCTGCTCAAGTTTGGCTAAAGATTTTATTTACACTTTCCTCACATGCCAGTGCCACGATGCCAGTGCACTGCTGCCACGATGGCCGACCCTAGGCAGAGAGACCGGGCACGCTGTGCCTGGCCCCGGCAGCTCTTTCCTCCCCACAAGCCCCCAGTAACACCGATATGGTGGGCAGACCATCCCTGTGTGCTGAGTGGCCCAGCAAGTGTGGAACTGAACACTTCCAGTCGTTGCTGCCTTGACACTGGTGTTTTCCACATCAGTGTTCCAAGGTGAAGAAAGCAAAATTAGATTTAAGGAAAACACCTATCTGGCAGCAGAGGAAAAGGGCAGCTTAGGCTACAGGTTGGGAGATCTTTTAGGGGCTAGTATTATAGTTCACTCAAGGGCTTGGACAGGGATAATAGAGGCAACCACCAGTGTATGGGAAGGTACGGAGAGGGTGGCGGGAGGGAGAGTGTACAGAGAAAAGTTGTTTAGGCCACAGGATTTCATGACTGGTTGTGTTGAGGGGAAAAGAATAGTCAAGTATCAATGCCTAGTTTCTGGTTAGGGGCAACTAGATGAGTGGTATTGCCATTAAACAATGTGAATTTTAGGAAGGAAGAGTGGGTTGGGGAAAGCAAATATGAGTTCAGTTTTAGACAAGTTGAACCTAGGAAATCTTTGGGATATCCAGGTGGTCAGGTCCTTACCCCGACTCTCCTTTCAGTTGCAGAAGAAAATCTGCAGAGTTGAGAACCCTGGAGAGATTGGTAACATGGAATTTATGGTAGGACAGAGTTTTAAGGAAAAAGTGGTGAACAGGGTCAGATGCAGCAAGGAGGAGAAAGACTAAAAACTGCTCCTTGGGTTTGGCAGCCAGGACAGGGTTCCTGGCACTGGGGTGAGCGGTGACAATGTGCAGTCAGAGAGAATGGACATGTCTTTTGGGAAGCCAACCTCTGAAAAAAGAAGAGGGTGGAACCTAGGGGGTGCTTTCAACAGCTCTACTGGGGGTATAACTGACATGCTGTGCACTCGACATATTTGAGTGTCCGATGTGATAAGCTGTGTCTTGTCAGCAATCAAAATATCCATCACCCCCAAACATTTTCTCCTGCCCCTTTGTAATCTTTGGCTCCAGCCTCTCCCTGCCACCCCACATCATTAGGCAATCACTGATCTGCTTTCTGTCCCTATAGAATTCCTTATAAATGGAATTGTACTGTATGTACTCTTTTTTCCTGGCTTCTTTCATTGAGTATAATTGGGATTAATTGAAGCAGTTGCATATATGATAGTATTCAGTCACATGGACGTGCCATAATTTGTTTGTCATTCACCTAGTGATGGACATTGAGTTATTTCCAGTTTTTTAAAACCAGATTTTATTTTTAGAGAGAGGGGAAGGGAGAGAGAAAGAGAGGGTAATAAACATCAGTGTGAGAGAGAAAATATCAGTTGGTTGTCTCCTGCATAGGCCAGAGGACTGAATCCAGGAAAGTGCATTGACTGGGAATTGAACCAGTGACCTCTCGCTTTGCAGAACGATGTGCAACCAACTGAGCCACATTGGCCAGGGCTGTTTCCAGTTTGGGGCTATTACAAATAAAGCTGCTGTCAACATCTATGAACAAGTCTTCATATGGACATACTTTCATTTCCCTTGGGTAAAAACCTAGCCAAGGAAGGCTGGGTCATATGGCAGGTTTTAAGAAACTATGAAACTTTTCAAAAGTGGCTGTACGATTTTACATTTGTCTTAGTTGCTCCACATCCTTTCCAACACTTGGTATAGTCAGTCTTTCTAATTTCAGACATTCTGAGAGTTGTAGAGTGGCATGTCATTGTGTTGTTAATTTGCATTTTCCTCATGGCTAATAACATTAGTCACATTTCATGTACTTTTTCATCTGTTACTCTCCTACAGTGAAATGTCTGTGCAAATCTTTTATAATCTAATCTTGAGTGATACTTCATCACTTTTACCATTTGCATCACCTTGGCCATATTTTGTCAGAAGCAAGACAGAAAGCCCAGCCCATATGCAGTGGGAGGGGATTACACCAGGGCCAGACTGCTGGGGGGCACCCTAGATGCTTCCGATGACAGGTGGCTTCCAATTTCTCTTGGAATAAAAGTTAATCTCCATTTTCTGGTTTCAAATGACTGCGAGATCTAGCTCTTTTTGTTTGTTGTTTGGATATGCTGAGCTTTTTTTCCTTGTAGAACCCTACAGTTGCTCTTCTGTCTACTTGGGATGCTTTTATGTCAGACTATTCCCATGGCTAATTGCTTTTTGTCATTCAGATCTCAGCTTATAAATTACCTCCTCAGAAAAACCGACCTCAATCACCCAATCAATCAAGGTAGCCTCTCAACCACTCCTTATCACATCACCTGACTAAATCTCTATGTGGCACTTATACTGTCTAATAGAATGTAAGTTTGAGTGTGGCAGGAAACTTGTCTCATTCATCATTATGTATCCAAACCTAACTAGAAAGATTGCATATGGGTGTTGTTACAAAGTCAGATAGTTATTATGACATCTTGAATTCCTGAGCTAGGTTATGTGAAAGATTCTATCCCATACTACAGAAAATATCTTTACAGTCATTATGGTTAATACTTCTATTAAAAAGCTTAAGATTTGTGTATACAAATGGGACATTTCATTAAGAAGAGGAGTGTGAGGGAAAAGCAGGAAGAAAAATTATGAGAGGGAGATTTAGTCAATATGTGTTAGGGGAGAAAGTACCAACATAGACTCCTTATAGAATTCTTGGACTTTACAATTTTATTAGAAAGGATAAAGAAATCACCATGCATAACACAATTGGAGAGGCATAATATGCTTTATGTAATGAGGGTCTAACTCAACTAAGCACTGTAGTTATGCTAAAAAAGAGCAGCAGTTTGGATTGAAATAGTCTAGGGAGGTGGTGAGACTTGAGCTAAGATTTAAAATGGGCCGGAGAAAAGGGCAGCCTTCCACAAGAGGAAAACAGATGGAGGCAAGATTCTGAGACTTGACAGGAAGGCATCCTTGCCTTGAAGACACCTGTGGTCCAAGATCAGAAGAAGGGGGGAATAGAAGCCTTCAGCTCTGACCCAGGAAGAAGATGAGGGAGTTTTGGGGTAACTTGCCAGGGGACAGCTACCTAACTGAAGGGTTTTACTCAAGTATTTCTTATTTAGATAGGGTTATTGGAGTCCTTGAAAGCAGGGTTAATGTTCAGAATTTTGATACATGAGTTAAATCTTATCAGAATGGACTAGATTGAGAGTATAGAGAAATGGTTTCAACTGTGCTCCCTGGAGTAGCTTTAGATTTTATCTAGAGCTTCTGTCTGATTAGGAGGGAATTGCTGTTTTTATTGCAGCAGCTTACATAGCATAGAGAAAACTTATGTTTTCCACATCAAAGAATGGGGTGGCAGTGTTGGAAATTATGGGAGCATTCAAACCTCCCAAGTGATATTTGCTGTGACTCTTGCATGCTTCCTATTCTTCCTTTCAGGTCTGGGAGCTGAATGATTGAATTGAAGGTAAGAGCTGGGTGTGATGCTTATGACGCTGCCTTCCTCTTCTCCAACAGTCTTTTTAAAACTTTCAGTAATTTTAAACATTTGGAAATAGGCATAAAGTGAAGGAGATATTCAAATTGTTGTAGGAAGAGCGGATGGGCATTTGAGTGTGAAAGCTGGTGCCATCACTATTTTGGGCACTGTAAATATTTACTTTGTTTTTTTGTGCTTCTGTTTTCCTATAGGCAAAATCTGAAATCGTTAAAGACAATTTCTCTAGCCAGACACCTAATGTCTTGTAATGCTACAGGCAATGCCGCAAAATGAATAAAAGTCTGGCTCCAAATGCCACAGAGTCCCATTAAAAAAAGCTAGTCCCTAAGGATCCTTCAACTGTTAACATTTCAAGACTCCACTTGAGTTAGGGGGCGCCACACCATAGACCAGTGCCTCCCAACCTCACCAATGGCTAACTGATCACTCAGGTTTTGGCTTAACATTTCACTTCTCTGGTGCCCACACGTATGTTTTTATTATATTGTTTTATTATTGTCTGCCTGATCCCTCCATCACTTGCAAACGCCACAATGGCAGGGTCTGTGGCTATTATCAGGGTCACAGTGGCACAGGGCAAAAACTTTTTGATTCAACAGATGAAATGCTAATGCACCAAGAAGTGACAAACCCCGCGAGCGAGCGCCCAGTCGGGGGTTGACGCCAACCTTCCGTAACTTCCGCCCCTACCCGTTCCTCCTGGAGCCCCCTCTCCTTGTCTGTGTTTTGGTTCCGGCGTTTCAATAAAGTTCGATTCGGCTCCCGAAAGACCAGTTCTTCCGGGAAAATGGCGACTCCCTCTCGTGCCCCGGCGTCCCCGCCAGCCGCGGATCTGGCGCCAGCCGCCGGGGCTGCCGAAGAAGCCGATTGCCCGTCACCTCCCCAGCCTCAGCCCCAGCAGAATGTCCTTGCCGCCCCGCGGCTTCGAGCCCCAAGCTCTCGAGGACTTGGGGCAGCGGAGTTTGGCGGAGCTGCGGGAGATGTTGAAGCGCCAGGAGAGACTTTTGCACAACGTGTAAGCTTGGGTCCCGCCGAGTCAGCGCCCGGCTCTGGGTTCGGGCTCCCTGGGACGCACCCCTCCCTTCCCCAGCCCCATTCCCTTCCCTAGAAGGTGACCTCGCCCCAGTCAGTTGCTTCCCAGCCCCGCGGGCGAGCGGGAGGCCTACTGTCGCCAGGCGGGCCGCGTCCTGGCCTGGCGCTGCCGCCTGTGGGCTGGCTCGTGTGCGGAGCCGCGGCTTTTCGAGTCAGCTCTAGGTCAGCTCCCTAAATCCTGGCCCGAACAACTTGTCAGTTTCACCTGTGGATCCTCTTTTCACAGGAACTGTCGGAAATGGAAAGAGTGGGATATAGAGTGGTTTGTTGGGCAGAGAAAGTTTGACTCTTAACTGAGTTTGCAGACTTCATGGACTTGAGCGGGGCGTGATGTAATATGACCGTGATTTTTAAAGGAAGCTTAAATTAGCTCGGTGCAGGTTGTTTTGAAAGGAATAAGAAGCAGAAGACAGTAGGAGAGTATTTTCAGAGAGTTTCCCGGCAAAGAGGGTGTAAGAAAATGAACTAGAAAAGTAGTTATGGGGTTGGGGAAACTACATCAGACTTGGAATACTTTGGATAGGTAGTTGATGGACAGGGCAGAGGTTTGCGGGGCGGGAAATAGACCCGAGGTTGATTTTTAGATAGGGTATGCTGAGTTGACGGGAGAGTTAATCATATCTAGTTAAAAGCTGGAGAAGTGGACACGAGGCCCAAGAGAAAGTTGAGAAGGCTAGGAAAATGTAGGCATCTCAACTGGAAGGCCTGTTAATAGTGGAAATTGTGGGAATGAATGTAGTGTCAGAGAAAGAATGTAGGGCCTGAGATGTAACCTTCCCTCTACATTTATTATATGGCTAACACGAGGGGTATCAGAAAAGGAACTGTTGCTCAGCAAAAGGGGCTAACGATCACTTGGGGGCTTCTTAAAGTATTTTGACTCTGAGACTGGGTTTTTAATCTTTAGCAGCAAGTTAACTTTTTGGTCTCAGGACCCCTTTATGCTCTTAAGACTTACAGAGTATTCCGAAGAACTCTTGTTTTATGTGTTAAATCTATTGCTGTTTGTCAGTGTAGTAGGAATTGCGAGTGAGAAATCTTAAAAATACAAGAATGCACAAATACACACACTATATTGCCCAGCAGAGAAATGGGAGTCACACATCTTGTGGCTTCTGGAAAACTCCACTCTCTTCACGGAGGAAATGAGAATGAAAATGGCAAATAATGCCTTAGTATTATTATGGAAATACTTTGGCCTTGCAGACCCATCCACCTTCCTTCCTCGGGCAGGTCTGGAGATCATACTTTTAAAAACTGTTGATTTTTAGAATGTCTTATGTAAGTATATGCTTTAAATACTTTTGCTGAAATCTTAATTAACTGAGACAGATGAGGCATATTCCCTATTCTCCCTGAATCCCCTTGTTTTTTTGGGGGGGGCGGGCGGGTGGGTATTTGGATAATCACATCTCTGCTTCAGGGCAATTGAAGTCAGATTTTTCTTAACTTAAAGATTGGCTTTTCTCCCTTTGAAGGTAATGCTTTTTCTTGAAAGCTCAGGTTTAAAAACATGGCTCTAATGTACACATGTTTTTTTCCATTTAACAGAAAATTCATTTGCAGATTGCCCGACAACGGTAAAAAGATCTTAGACTCTGTTGCCAAACTGAAAGCTGCCATTGCAGAACGTGAAGAAGTTAGAGGAAGACGTGACCTGTTTCATCCTGTTAGTTTAGACTGTAAGCCAAGGCAAAAAGCAGTTGTGGTTGATGTGGACGTAGAAAAGGCCCAGAATTCTGACCAGATACTTGATTCTTCATCACTGGTTCCTGGCTGTTCTTCTGTAGATAACATCGCATCATCTGAAACAACTTCACAAGAACAGGGACTTGCACATTCTACTGACAAAGGCGATGCAGAGGCTCCCGAGGTTGGAGACACAGTGAACAAGTGCCCAGGATCTAGCAGCAGAGCCAGTGGGCCTTCCTCGCCCGAAGCTAGTGAGTGTCTCCCTCAGCATCGTGCGTCAGGTCAAACAGAAGATAATTCCAGCAGCCCTGACGACGTATTTGTTGATAGATTACAGAAGATCACCATTGCAGACCCAGGTGAACACCACTCAGAAGAAAACACGAGGACTGAGAACTTGACAGGCCTTTGTACTGGGACAGAGAAGAAGCCTCATTACATGGAAGTGCTAGACCTGCGAGCGAAAAACCCAGTGCCCCCAGCACGTAAATTTAAGCCCAATGCGTAAGTACCATTCGAAACAGACCTGTCATAGGAACATACTGTTTGTTAAACTCAAAAACTGGGAGTGTGCTTTAAGTTCAGTGGACTTTGTGTGAGACTTACTTGTAGTTAGGAACAAGCTTACTGTGGAAACAGTGAGACCAACCTAGCCCGAGTAGAGGATTCCTGTTGAAAAATTCTTCAATATTTTAGCCAAATCATTGAAAAGATTTTAAATGACAGGCGAAGTATTAAATTTCAGGATACTTAGCCAGTATTTCATAATAAACAGAGAATTTATTATGACTTTTTTTCAGAACCATTTTCTGGTGTACAGCTCCTCTTTTGATTGGACTGTCAGCTAAGGAAAAGGCGATTGCAGGAGCTGATAGACTTTCTCAGCAAAAATATTTGTGTGCCCCCGGGTATAAGCAGCAGGTATTGTGGTGATGCGGAAGTAAAGATGCTCATCAAAGAATTTAGGACCTAGGTGAGGACCCACAACTTACACTCTTGGACAAACATTAAACCATATAACAACTTCAGAGGGAAGGAAGCTGAGAGGAGTTGAAAAAACTGAAGACAGGTTGAGGCTGGAGGGGGCAAACTAACTCTGCTTCTAAGTTCCTTTTTATAGTTTCTGAGATCTTTAGAGAAAGAAAAGCTCTTTGAGGAGAAAAGAGTGTTGGTATGCAAATGTAACTTTCAAGTCAGGCAGCAGCAGCTGGTACAGCCTAGATTTACAAGAACGTAGCATCGTCAGATACGAAGTGGGACCACTGCTGGCTTTCTTTGAAAAACTGAAGAACTCTAGTTAAAAACACCTACAACCATTTTTATTATAAAGAGACGTTAAAGTTTAGTCCTTCCCCAATTTAACCTCAAAACATTTTATTTCTTCTAGAAAACCAGGATTGTGTTACATTAATTTGTATTTAGGAATAAAACTAATCTTTGGTTAAATTTCTTTTTGTGTGCAAAAAGGTATGTTTCTACTAGGAAGACATGCATAAACATTATTTAGTCAGTAAATATAACAGAATACCCTGATCCCGTTTTTTTATTATGGTCTTTTAGCTGGAAGAGGGCGGAGGGGAAGGAATGGCAGTGAGAGTTAAGGACGCTGCAGAGGCAGAGCTCCTGTGCAGCGAGAGCAGAGGAGGGCAGGCTGGGCCTTGACAGTCAGTAGGTGCAGGTGGCGGGGGACTGAGGGGAGCCTGAACAGCAGCTTGGAGGTCAGAAAGGGGGATGGAGTGGTGTCCTTTGGCTTCTGTACTGCCCTTCCCTTGGCCTCCTACCTGTTCTGGCTCCATTATCGCCGGGGTGCTGGAGGCCACCCCTCATCTACCTGTAGCCGAGGTCTTTCTAGAACTTGAGATTTATACCGCCAGTTACCTACGAAATGTGACTGTGTGGGTGTCTGTGGCACCTCAGGTTTATCGTGTACAAAGTGGAACTCATTTCTTCCCAAACCGCCTGTCTCCCATATTCCCTAAGTTATTAGTGTCACCTCAGTGCTTTTTTCCCCCAAGGTGCCTTCCTGTGTCCTCATCTGTGTATTTTTTAGCCACGAACACCTACATGATATATTTCCTTGACCTTCATTGCTGATCATGCTTATCTCCGTTCTCTCTCCTAAGGGAGGGCTGTCATCTCTCTCTTGGGCTATAACTATGGTCTGTTGAGCCTCAAGTCTTAACATTTTACCAGTCCATCTTCGCCAGTGCTACCAGAGCAAAATTTGTAAAATGCAACTCGGAACCTGCTACGTGGAGTAGAACTCTTCACTGTGGTCTGGACCCAGCCTACTTCCCAGGCTCATCTGGCCGCCTTTTCTGTTCTCCCCCTCTTGCACCTCCTGTGCTGCAGCCGTGTGCCTCTCACGGCCGGGGTGCCTTCTCCCCTCCTGTGCTCCCCTCCCGGAGCACCTTTTCCAGGACTCCTGAGATTTCACTGTTCTGATGTTTTTCTGACAACCTCCCTATCTCCCATTGGAACTGGCCGTTACTTTCTGTACGTTCCCGTGTACAATGCATAGATGTGAATCATGGTACCTGTGCTGTTGTATGCATGAGGGCGATAGTAGATTTACAGTTGTTTGGGAAATAATACGGTAACACAGGAATAAAATCTGTGTTTCGCATACTCGTAATTATGAACCTACTTCTGCCCCACACTACGTTGCACTGAAATGGTTGATAATTTTATTTCCCTCTACTGGAGAGTAAGCCTCTCATAAATGTTTTTTGAATGGGGAAAAAAATAAAAGGCAGCTTCAGTTCAGGTACAGGTTTGAGGAGAGATGGAAAGGGCAAAGAGCGAAGGTTAAAGGCCACTCTTGTGTGCACCAGTGTGTAGATGTGTGTCCATACAAAGATGGCATAAGTCTCCCCTCCTTCAGGTTACCTTCAAAACAGAACGATTCATCCAGTCACCAGCAGAGAAGCGCGTCTCCTGTTTCCTCGGAGGAAAGGCGGCGCAGGGACAAGCAGCATCTCGACGACATCACAGCAGCTCGGCTTCTGCCGCTTCACCATCTGCCTGCACAGCTGCTCTCCATAGAAGAATCTTTGGCACTTCAGCAGCAGCAGAAAAAGAGTTATGAGGTATTTAAGACTATCCATTGTTTCCTGTCTATATGTTAGATGCTGCTTATATAAGTCAGAATTGACTTCAGGTAGTTCAAGAAGGACGGCATTTAACAGAGGGACTAGGTGTTAGAGAAATGGTTGGTGAATGCCGTTAGCTCTCAGATGTCTACCTCTGCTGTCCAGAGGCTTGAAGCTGCTAGAACTGCAGGAAGCAGCTGGAGGTGATCGCAGCTGTCTGCCACGTCAGACTGATATTTGCCGGGAAATTCGAGGAGACTACTGCAAAATTTCACATCTCTGAAAGCCCATGCTGTTAGACTAGCAGTAGTATCACTTCTTGTGTCTTCTACTTCATAAAACCCCCGTGAGAACTCGGTGGTGGAATCTAACTGAGAACCCTTCAGAGAGAATCAGGAAAATGTGGTTTCCAGCTTCTGTCTCCTGTGACAACAATGGGAGAGCATGAACGGGGTGGGGGGACAGTATTGTATTGCCAACAGACAATTGGACACTAAGCTTAACAGCCTAATTTGCAGACTTTGTGAGGATAGAAGAATCTCAAATGTGTAGTGCCTTAATCAAGTTCGTATAGGACTGTCTTCAAAGATCTGTATGTTCTACATGGAACTTTAAGTGTGCATATTGACGATTTGTGTACATAAGAATGAAATGGGAGAAACAGTTGTGAGAACCATAATGAGAAAAAAAAGTGTTCAGTATACTTAGTAATAATTTGACCCTCCAGGAAAACAGCAATCTAGCTTCCTAATATTGCTTAGTTAGGTCTTTTTTTTATTTTTAACTTTTTTTCTTTTAAAGATTTTATTTATTTTTAGAGAGGGGGAAGGGAGGGAGAAAGAGAGGGAGAGAAACATTGGTGTGTGGTTGCCTCTTGCATGACCCCCTACTGGGGACCTGGCCTGCAACCCAGGCATGTGCCCTGACTGGGAATCGAACCAGTAATCCTTTGGTTTGCAGGCTGGTGCTCTATCCACTGAGCCACACCAACCAGGTATGCTTAGTTAGATCTTAATCAGGTATTATACACCAGTTACTAGAAAACCAGGCTGTTCATCTGCTTTGGCTTTTCAGACATGCTCAGTTGGCATGGATTAACATTTTCAAGGCACTTCTTTTTAAAGCCATTTTTCTTCCTGCTACTGCATTAAAATTATTGCCTACTTACAACTATAACATTGGTGAATTGTTCTTAAAATGATCTATATGGTCCCAATTGTTTATCCTAAGACATTTTTAGCTTGAATAACAAATATACTTCAGTTCAAAGTTGACATCTTGGCAGAGTAGTAGTAGTAGCTCCCACTTTAGTTTAACCTTTTCATAGTATTTATGGCCTGAGGGGATGGACCTAAAGAAGTTCAAATGGGGGAGAAACCATGGGAAACATGAAGAGCTGAACTAGAAATGAGCATTGCCACCTGCCATCAGTCGGCAGTAATGTCCTTGGGTGTATACAAGCACATTTCCAGTGTCTGGAATGTACTTGGACTTTTGGCTACATAGTAATTTTCAGGGGACTTTGTTTGGCAGAGGATAGTCAGCTTTGTAGTATTAGTTTTTTAATTTCCACTGTGGTATTGAAATGTAACTCTAAGCCTAGAAGCTGTGATCTGATTTAGGAAAGATGATTGCCAGTTGGAGAGTCAGCACAGCATGAGTGATTTTTGACATGTGATAGCTCAGATTGTTCTGTGAGTTTGTATATGTGTGTGCCCACATACTTAAAAATAGATCTGTGCTTATAACTGTTGTAGTGCTAAGCTGGTTACTCAGTTTGTCCTGTAGCAGTGGGGCGTTTCCGTGCCCTGTTCACTGATGGACGTCTGTCATACAACTGCAGCAGGCTGGCAGCTCTCACAGCACAGCCCTGTTGTCTGTGTGGCAGACGCGGCTGCCGGGCTCGTTGCATTGCTGTAGGGCACCGAGTGGAGTGGCCTTCCTCTTCATTCCCGATTCTGTTTAAACGGCTTCACATTGGAAGATTGTAGGGAGAAGATGTGTCTAACTTTTTGCTTTATTTTAAAGGAGATGCAAGCCAAGCTCGCAGCACAAAAATTAGCTGAAAGACTGAATATTACAATGCAGAGCTATAATCCAGAAGGGGAGACTGCGAGGAAGTACCGAGAAGTAAGGGATGAAGATGACAATCAGTCCTCTGATGATGAATTCTGAAGATGGACATTGGGAGACTCTCCTAACTTCTGCCTGCTGAGGTGTCATTATCTTCCATTGGACTTTCTAACAAGTATCAAGATCAGTGTCAGACATTGTTGAGGGAAATAATTTTATAAAGCTACACAAAGGTAGCTATAAAAATAGTCCAGTTTGTCTTTCAGAAGATAATTTTCATGTGCTTGAACAGTTTAATATTTGAATATTGTGTTTAACCACCTTGGATGAAAGTTTTGCAGTATGTTGTGTGGTCCGATACTTTAGTATATGGCAGAGCACACATTTTTTTCTGTAAGCCAGATGAAAGCAGGTGTCTGTTTTTCCCCCCTCCTTACCTCTATCAATATCTCACCTTTCAGGGAACTATTTTGTTGTCCCCGTCATCACCCAAATGAATTAGGAAGATATGGTTCCCTCTTTTTTTGAGTAATGAAGGGAGCAGTGTAAAGAATTTTAGGCATGTTTGCATGGGTTTATTGAGGTATCGGATGTGAACTACCTAGGAAGACACTTAGAAAAATGCTTGAATGTTTTTTTCCTTCTGTCTTCCCTTGGAAGAATGTTATCTTCTGATTACAAATAAAAAGTGCAGTTGACCCTTTAACAGTGTGGGGGTTAGGGCTGCCAACCTGCTTGGTAGAAAATTATAACTACATACTGATAGTTGTTGATGCTGGAGGGTGGATGGTCTTTCTAAGTGACCAGGTTTTCCCAGAGTAACATGAAATACAGAAAAGCCTGAGACAGTTGATGAGGGTGAAGGGAGTAGCTGTTCTTAAGCTTGACCTGACTGGAGTAATGCTCTTAACAGATGATAGGTTCAGTTCGGTAATAAAAAAACAAAAACAAACAGTATTTTTTTTAAGCTACAATTGAATTATTGTCAGTAAATTGTTTCCCCCCCCCCCCCCAAAGCCTTCATACACAGGCTTCAGAGACCTCAGTCTATAAATACATGTTTATGTAACCTGAAAGGATTATGCGACTTTCTCCAGAGAAATTAACACAGTATCAAAGATTTCTTTAATATGTTGTGGCCTTTAAACAGTGTTAAAAGCAAGAATAAAATATTAATTAGAGGAACTTAAAAATGTTAATGGTTATGTTTTACTGCTGCTTACTTTAAAAGAGACTTCATATCTGTAATTTGATGGGAATGTATTCAGAGCAGATGCACATGTGAGAGGAAGGGCTCCGTTCTGTACTGTGTACTTCTGGGGGTTGCGCCTGCTTTCCTTCCCCCTTGTCTCCAGAAAAGCAAACATAAAACTATACTGAGCTAACAGTTCCACTATTTTTAGTTATTAGGACTATTAGAAGATGATTTCACAGTATAAAATTATTGGATGTTCTTTTGTTACAGAATGAAATAATACATGTTATTTCTAGGATGTTGAAAAAATGTGAAGGGGTTCACATCATATACATTTTCCTATACACATCACATACAGTTCTTAGAGTTCTACCCAGAGAGAGTGTCTGTGAACATTTGGGTATATGTCTTCTTACGTATTTTCCTCTGTGCATACGTACATTTATATTTTCAGTAGTGCAGTCATACTATACATTAACTCATGGGTCAGTATGTTGTAAACATTTCCCATATTAAATATTGCACCATTTTAGATAACTGCAGAATATCCCATTTTATTGCACCATAACTTCAAAATCAGCTTATTATCTAACAATTTGATTATTAATTATAATGTAACTATAAATGATACAGTCAACATCTTAAAAGATAGCCACATCTGTACAAAAATGACTTATTTTCAGAAGATTCTTTTCAAGAAGTGAAATTGCTAGTTGAAAGGTAAGTTTTTGAGCATCTTGATATGTATCGCTCATCGCAGGGATTGTGTCCTACAGTCCCCCCAGTACTGTATCGAACTCCCAGGACTGAAAACTGCTGTTTAAAATATTTGCAAGTTGAATAGTTGCAGAAAAGGGTCCTTTCAAATTTGTGTTTCTTTGATTACTTAATGAAGGTTGAATGTTTTTTCATGTGTATCGACCACTTATGTACATTCTTTTAGGCATTGGGTAGTCTTATCTTCCCTGTATTCTTGGAGAGCTTTGTGATTTGCGTTGGTTTAGAAATTATGAATTATTATGCCCATCCTTTGTTCTTACATTATTATTTTAGTGTATTATTTTCTTTTAATTTAGTTCATAGTGTTTCGATGTGGAAGTTTTCTTTAGGATTGTACCTTTGAGGTATGCGTGCACATGCCTTTCCCTCCCCAAAGATGGATACATATTTATCCTTCTGCTAGTGCTTTTTTAAAAGTTCACTTTTATAATTACCTTACATTCAAAAGGAAATTTTTTATCAGATCTCAAATTTATTTGGGGATATTGTATGAGGTGAGATTTAATTTTAATTTTCGCCAGTAGTTGAAAAATTGGTTTGGTGTTACAAGCCACCGCTTTCCCACTGATTTCTGATGCTGTCGGATTCTGTTTTGTGTGTTCTGTGTCTTGGACCTGTTTCAGGGCCTTCACTCTTCCCCACATTTTTTAACAATCATGGCTTTAATTAGCATTAATATTTGGTAGTGCAAGTCTCCCCTCATTCTTTTAAATCTTAGGAAATACAACGACAGAAAAGGACATAAAACAAGTGTGCAATGTAATGGATAAAACAAAGGGTATGTAATCACAAACCAGGTGCAGAAAGGCTACTGCCACGGCTCTAGAAGGTCCCTGTGTGTCCCCCTCTGGCCCTCAGTTTGTCCGCCCAGCAGGAACTACTATCCTGCCTTTATGGTCGTACCTACTTTCTCTTTAAAAGTTTGTTTTACCAGTTATATATGCAAGGCCATGGTTAATTCTGCTCACTTTTGACATAAAAAATGGACTCACTGTTGTATCTGGTGTCTTTCACTCAACATTGCTTATAAAATTCACACCATGTGTAGTGTGGTTTATTCATTTTCATTGCTGTTTTATGTGCCATTCCATTAATACTACTTTATTCTGTGATAATTGCTTCCATGATATTTTCAGTTTGGGGCTGTTACAAGCAATGCTGCAATGAGCATGTTTGCGCACATAAGTTTTCTGTAGGGTATTTACCTAGGAGTGGAGATACAAGGTGTGCACATCTTTACCCTTTACTGCTCCCACCACCCCACATCTGCCATGTGTGAGAGTTCCAGTTCACAAACATTGAAAATGGCCAGATTTTAATTTTAGCCAATAGGATATTTTTATAGTAGTAATTTTGGTTTTATTCTGTACATCCCTAAGTATGAATGCCATTGAGCATCTTTACATGTTTATTGGCCACTGGATTTCTTTTGAAAGTGCCCATTCAAGTCTTTCCTCCATTTTTCTTTTGTGTGTCAACCGTCTTTCTCTCATTGATTTTTAGGATGTATTCTTGATACAAATCATGATTTGGTTGTGTTTCTTGTACGCATTCTTATCCTCTTCTGAATTCTCATCCTCTTTGTGGTGTTTTTGATGGGCAGAAATTTTAAAGGTAAGTCTATCAATCTTTAGGTTTAGTATCTTTGTGACTTGTTTTCAGTAATCTGTCTCTCCTGAAGTTATGAAAATACTCTCGTTTTAAAATCTTTTTAGTTAAAAAATGTTTTATAATTTTGCCCTTTCCGTTCCATTATCGATTCCATTGGGAATTGGGCGTGGCTGTGCAAGGAAGGCTCCTTCCGCAAAGCCGCACGTCTCGGCGCTAAGTAGTGCACTTCCGCCCCACGCCGGCCTTCGGATGCTACTCTGGGGTTCTCTCTTTGATTCCTTTTGCATTTTCATATAAATTTTAGAATCAGCTTGCCATATTCTACCCAAAAAAATGTGCTTGATAGTGCAAAGCTCCACTGATTTTTCCAAAAAAATGTTTGGTATTCTGTCACTAATCAATTAACTTTTTTTCCCTAAGATTGTATATTTTGAAGTTTAGGAGATTTGGAACCTTGCCACTTAGAAGCTAAAGTACATTTACTCTTTTCAACTAAGATGACTGTTTTTAGTGTATACAAGTTAAATAGAAAATTCAGAACACTGTTTTAGTGTAAGTATGTATTATGTAGTTTTGTCAGAAGTGTTAGCAAGTAAAGAATTTTTTAAATATCAAATATATGTAGGTTTAAAACGGGAAAATGGAATGAATCTGCAGTTATGAAATCGTCTCCTCAATTTTCAAGTGATTAGTTTAAAAGAAGGAAGTTGAATGCTAAAGTTTGGGATTTAACCTGAACCATGGAATATGTTATGAGGATTAATCTCGTTACATAGTAGTCATCTGTAAGGATAATACTTTTTCATTTTCATAGGACCTGTCTCTAATCCACATCATATTCTCTGGGCATCCAGGAGCTGTGAGTCAAGGTGGAAGGTAAAGAGTTTGTGGAATTACCTCTATTTCCTGCAACTGGGATGTTGAGGTGATTTGCTCAAGGTCACAAAGAACCCAACACTCAATTTCTGGGCGCTGGATGCAAGGCCCTGCTCAGGAATACCACAAATCAAAGTTGCCTTGGGCTTTAAAAAGTGTTAATGCTAGGCAAGGGCTCAGATTACTCACAGGGAATTTGTGGTGTCTCTCTGATTTACACTACAAAAGGGCTTTTTTTTCTTCTGATAACTTTCATATTTGGAGTGTTTCATTTTTAATCATCTTAGAACTGTTAGGCTATTTGGCCACTGCTGGTATCTTCACTCTTCCTTTCTCACTTGATAGTTGGCTGCATAAAATTTTTGGAGAAGAGATGCAAGGCATTATAGGCTTTATTCAGAGGACCAGGTACAGTCTGGCAGTTTAATCCTTTGTGAGCGTCATGAGACTGGAACGCTGAATGAAAGTAAAGTCCTTAGGGAAGGAAAGATCCTGTCTCTGTGCAGAAAAAGTCGAGAGTGCCTGTGCTTAAAGAAATACACGGATTATATAACCAGCTTGTATGGAGAGCATACAGAATCATCTAAAAAATATGGCAGATTGCATTATTGACTAGTTCCTTGACAGGGAGGAGAAACTTAAAGCTATTATTTTAATTTCTGGCTAAAGTGAGGAAGCTTTGATACTGGGCCGATGAAATAAACCTAGTGTTGGATAATACTGAACTAGAGCCAGACCACAAATCAGAAGCGATTCTGAAAGCACAGCATAAAAGCCTGAACAATTAAATATGATCTATTACTTCCCAGATGATTTTAGAAAACTTGGAATGAAAAAAAGGCAAAAAAGAGGGTAAGCCACTGGAATAGCATTAGATTATTAGATTTAGGATTTAAATGCCACTATTTCCTTTGAATCCAGTGGGAAGTCATGTACTCTCATGACGGTTAAGTCTGCAAGATGAGGTCAGTGACCCCTTATCTAATGTATGGGGTATGTTTTGAGAGAACAAAATTTCAAAGTGTGGTCTTTATAGAACACTTTGAGGTCTAAAAGAGATTCTAGATGAAAACCTTATTGTAACAATGGTAACAATTATGACTGGAAGTGGTTTAGGAGGCACCTTTTGGCATACGAAAAAAAATGTTCTAAAATCACCACCATATGAAAATTTTAATTTAGTGTTAAAATTAACTGAGAACAATAGAGACTCCCTAAAAAGCTATTTTGACAAGGGGAAATTAGGACATTAAGCTAAAGACAGACCAAGCTTCGTATGGAAAAATTTCACGTTATTAAGTCAAAAGAATGAGAGTTGTAAATCAAGTCCTTCCTTGGAGCGGGCACAAATGCTCCTTAAAAGATGGAGACTCAGCTTGGTGCTTATAAATTTTGTCTGAAAGTATTGCTAGTAAATGCATCAGTTCTCTTAATCAGTACCACGTATATTTGTATTAAATTAAATAGCTCTTCTCGTGATTGTATC